GCTACATACAACTCGCGACAGTATTGCCTGAAAGCGTGTTAGCGCGTTATATGTTATCGCTAGGGCGTGTTGTTGCGAACTTGTTGTGTTAACGTGACAGCTTGTTGTGTGTTAGCGCGATGTTGAGCTCAAATTCTGCAAATGGCCCTCTCCGGACTACGGAAGCGTAAATGGCTCTACACTTGTTATAACTTTGTATATTGTCATATATTTTATCGACTTATCAACATGTAAAGTGTTATACCTCCTTATTTATGCACATATTTTAAATTTTATTAAGATTTCTTAATATAATTGAAGGCAACTCCTTTTGTTCAATAGACTTTATTGCTTTTAAGTTTTATCGACTGAAATAATATATTGATTTTCAGATATTGATCGGAACAAGATATTTAATCATATCGATATAGTATTGTTGATATGATGAAATAAAGATATAGATATATCGATTTTCATTCATAAATATTTGTGATAAAGAAGTCAGAATACAGCGTTTTTGAATTATTTTGGCGGGGGTGGGAATTCCAATGAACCTTCACTTTACTCGGGATTCAGTGAAAGCTTATGTATCATGTACGATTAAAGGCTGAATCAAATGAAAAAGTATATACTCCAGTATTAAAAAAGGGAGATGAAGACACATTAAAAGTTATAGATCCATAGTGGACTATTGCACCGATCACCACTTTTGATGATGGGGAGACAAGAGTATCTTTGTGCCCCTCATCCAGCTTTAAAAAAAACTGAGTGCAACAGAGATCCACTAATATGTCCCCAAATTTAAGAAAATTCTCACAGTTAGATTATTAAATCCTTGGGGTGTTTTGTTTGTTATATATTTATTTTGGCTGACACTACACTTTCCTCCTTTAAACTTTGTGACTAAACTTATACAGATTGGCTGAAATCACAAATTATTTTATATTATTTAAAGCATAAGAAGTAAGATCTGGTGTTTATATTTTTATGCAAGGGAGGGGGGTTCAAGACTGTTGAAGTTTGCATTCATGAGTCAAATCCTATGTATAACACAGAGTGGAACAACATCAAATACTTACAGAGTACATATATAATCAGTGTTACTTTTATAATACATAGTGTTACTTTCTACTTTCGCTTCTTTGGCGATTAACGATCCCCCACTGAACTCAAGAGATATAGGCAGTGAACAATGATAGAATAGCCCCCCTCTTCAGAGGTGGTTATGGGTACAATAACCCTCTATGACAATGGTAATAATCTAACTGTTGATGTCTCTCCATCTCCCTTTTTCAAATATTTTTGAATTTTGTTTCAGCCTATAATCGTACACAATAGCAAATACATGGTACATAAGATTCCCAAGTGAAGTGAAGATTAATTAGAATTCCCGCTCCCGCCAAGTTAATTCAAAAACACCTTTTTCTGACTTCTTCTCGAAAATATTCATACATCTATATCGATATAACTTCATATTTATTTCTTCATATCGACAATACTATATTGACATTATTAAATATTTTGTTTCGATCTATATTTTAAAATCAGTATAATATTTCAGTCAAAAAAGTTAAAGCAATAAAATCTATTGAACAAAAGAAGTTGCCTTTAATTATGTAAATAAAGCTCAATACAATTCAAAATATGTGCATAAATAAGGAGGTATAACACTTTATATGTTGATATGTCGATAAAATATAAGACAATATACAAAGTTATAACAAAGCAAGTGTAGAGCCATTTACTCTTCCGTACCGGACAGCATACGTTATCTATCACAGTGGTGTCGCGACGTCGTGTTTTAAGTTATTTCACTTGTCCAATTTACCAGTTTTTATTACAGAGTTATCTAAATATTTAGCATAGATGTGAATATTTTTTCTCCTTTTCATACTATAGCCTTTAAGCTAGCTTTTGAGCTCCTAGGTTTCATTGATATGCCTAGATTCACACAGTTATTATGCACTTTTTTAACAGTCATAAACATGATATTTTTACGATTGTTAAATGTTATCAAGGGAAATAAAAACAAAGCAAAATGAAACAGGCACACAAATACAGACCAAGATGATACATGTATATCGTGGGAGACCAAACATTTGGTGTTTCCAGAAGTCTGTTGATAGTAAACCTCACCTGTAAAACATGGCGGCCTCTATTACATCTATTTTATTACTATTTGTGACTTCTCTTATGAATGAGGGAACACGTTTTGTTTGTGGTATTGATGAAGGTGACTTTGATTATGATGCCCTTCCTGGAACGACACACGAATTCAAGATAGAAGTTAAAGCTGGAGAGGAGGACTGTTTTGCCCAGATGGTGGCGCTGGGAGCAGTGTTTCACGTGCAATATGAGGTACAATCACTCACATTAATATTACACTTGCATGAATGTTTTAAAAATAAAGACCATCAACTGAGAATAGACTTCAGTCAATTTTTTTTCTTCTGATGATCTTTAATTTTATTTAAAATGTGTTCTTGAATTTTATCCTTTTCTTTACCGTATATATGGTTTCAAAGAATATCGTATCACATTAAGATACAATATAAAATAAAATTTGCTACACAAAAACATATATTTCAAGCTGTATTTTGAGGCTCAATTAATTTTTAAGAGTTGTTGACCTTGATTGATGAGGGATAACCCGTATCAAAAAATTGCCTTACTAAAATATTTGTACAACATATATGGCTGCAAACGTTACTACATATAATTTTTAGAAATATGGTACTACAATGTACTTCCCGAATAAAGCTTTCAACATTTTTGCAGCGAACAAAACAGTTTTAAGGGTATTCTTAAGGGACTCCGACCCTCAGCCAGGAAGGAGAACTCTTTGATTTATAATTCAATTCAAAAAGTCTTTAAATGAAGCTTGAAAATTAAATATTTTCATGCAACAATTTTCATTATATGTCTCTCAATGTGCTTCAAGGTTCTTTGCAAAGCTCCATAAATCACTTCTAATTTCATATCATGTTAATAAACATTGGTATCTAAAAATGCTTTTTCAGGATAAAAAAATTCTACTTTTAATTAGACCTCTCTGAGAAGTTCAAAGAACCTTGAAGCCCATTGAGAGGCATATAATGAAAATTGTTGCATGAAAAGATTCAATTTTCAAGCTTCATTTAAAGACTTTTTGAATTGAATTATAAATTAAAGAGTTGTCCTTCCTGGCTGAGGGTCGGAGTCCCTTAATATTAAATCTTTCGGGGGAAATGTATGGGAGACAAGTAACAAAATCAGTAATTATAAAAACATTTTTAGGTTCTGAGGGGCGGAGACAGAACTATTCGAATGATAGCGATTGACCCGAGCTTAAAGACAATTCAGATCGAAGATCCCAAATCAGAGGGCTTCATCAGCCACAAGGCGACGATGGAGGGTAAGTCAGGGTGTGTCTGAGAAAACAAAGGAGTGGATCTAGGTTTACTTCAAAATGAAAGTAACACTTTCAGAGAAGAATACAGTAGTTACCATACTTGAAGAATACTTACCATTTATTTAATTTAACAAAATCAGTATATCTATTTCGGTTCTTATGAGGGAGGCCATTTTTGTTAATACCATCTGGTACATATTGCCAGCTGCTTTAATGACATATATGGAGTCAGCAAACAACATTTATGCTCAAAAGTTCATTTAACAATGCTAATCAGGATCGAGCAAACAGGAACATCTAAAACATCAAAGGAGGGATCAAGTGCCACGGAGGAGTAAGCATCCCTTGCTGATATAAATTATACATGTAGTTGGTATTTGTTTTAATTAAGAAGTTTAATATTCAACATTATCCCAATTACCGCATTGTTACAGGGTACCACCACGTCTGTATGGACAACACACACTCCAGGTTTTCGGGAAAGATCGTGTACATCTATATTGTAACTTATATAATGGAAGAATGGGCAAAATATATGGAAGAAATCCAGAGTATCAGCCTCACCGCACAAAACTTTTCCGTACGTACAAATCCTTTTGAGAGTTAACAGAATCTTTGAAGTATTTTTTTCGAAGTTTTATTCACTAAAAAAATAATATTCAGAACTGATCATCTATGCTTACTCCTCCATTAATGTACTACAATATTAAAATATTAGAATCAAAATTAACACAAATTTAACTCATCAAGGCATTTTGCTTGATATACCGTATATGCGGGGTTTTTTTTTTCGCGTGTTGGAAATTTTGCGAAAAAGGGGTAGATAAGCACAACTTTTATTTTGCGTAAGTTATTTTTTACGATTGTAGATTTTGTGGTTTAAAATGGTAATGTCTTTATGTTACATTATAGCTGACAAAATTTCTGCTTTATATTTTGCAAATTAAAAATGATTGCAAAAAAGCGAAAAATAGATCCTCGCGAAAAAAACGGATATACGGTTTATTAATTTTTTTTAATCATTCTAAAAGTCATCTCTAAACATATAATTGTCTACGACAAAATTAATAAAACTGGAAATTTCACTTCAGAGAACACTGACTGATGTGCAGACCTCAATAGACATTGTCAGGTTCCACCAATCAGAAAGCCGTATGCACGTGGTGCGGGACTGGTATTTAGCAATAGGAAATAACAAACACATCATGTACTGGTCCATATTCCAGATCAGCGTCATCATCATGTCGTCAGTATTTCAGATTTTCTGTCTCCGGAGATTATTCCGCACTACAGCAGTGACACCGTCACAAAAACCTAGAGCCTAGCGATCCTTCAATTGGTGAAGCAATTGACTTTACATGTAACTTGCCTTAAAGCCATCATGCATGGTTAAAAACGTATCATGGTTAATACGTATATATATGAGATGGTATCTACACTATTTCCTTTCTCGTAGATTGGCTACAACTTTTGCATACTGATCTAGGGGGCCTGGTGGGTATATCAATAACTACGCAACGGGCATTTTTGCCAAAGTAAAGTATTTGTTAAACACAAAAAGATGAAAGAAAAATAAGGGCGAAATGTACAGAAGAAATGGATAAATAAATGTTATTGTTGATGGAGTTGGGAAAACTCATACAATATATCCTTCCGAGAAAAGAAATAGTCCTGACATGTACCGTCTCGCATGTATTCGTACGATACTTAATAACCACGCTTTCAGTTCTAGCCAAGTCAGTCTTGATACTAATGTACTGTTCTCAAAGCATTTCCCATTTTGGATGTAGAATGATAAGTGCAAAAAAGATACAGCGATAAAAAAATCTTTATTCATTCATATTTTATATAACCTGAAATAAATAAATGATTTGAAAAATATAAATAATTGTTTCTAACAACAAAGTTCTGCAAGGTGAAACATGCCCTGATCTATAATTGAGTTACTCTTTAACGGGAGTGGTCTGGTAAAATCGTGGACAGCTTGTCTAGGACCGCACATAAGCATAAATTAAAAATAATGTTTTGTCTATATTTTATGAAAAAAAAATTAAGATGCACTAAAATATAATGAATAAATATTTTCTAAAAATTTCAGCTTAGTGTGTCCATCATTTTTCAATAGAAACGCTTTCTCCGTGCAACGATTGTACGATTTTACCGTGCAACCCTCATAAATCCAGGATCGATAAAGGTATTTTCGAAAATAACGGTTTAATAAGGAACCCTTTAATTAAACAATCATATTTGATCATTGCAATTGTGTAACAAATTTAAAAAATCACATTCATATTATGGATGTTCAAGAATTCATGTTCATGTTTTACATGAATATTATATCTTGTATGATAATGAGGACCTTAGATCAGAGGAGAGGCTTGGAGGTCAGTGTTTGCTCTGCTACAATTTTGTATTGTCTATGGACTTTTGAGCTTGAATACTGTTCGTCTAGAAAACTAGATTTTTTAAAACTGGCATTGACTAATTGTCAGAATGGATTAAATGTATCAGATCTATGTTACAATCGCGTATTAATTAATAGACTGAGGGGAATCTGAAAACCATCTATCTTTATATATTCAATAATCTAGAAGTTAAAAAAATTAAATAGATTACATGATCAGTACGTATTGGTCCCTGCTGACAAAGCAGGTAACAATATTGTCTTCGTTTGATCATGAAAGACTCATTGTATAAAATATTTTAGAAGAACTTGGATTGAATTTTACAAGTGGTAATCCAACTTATGCTCATAATTCGATCCCTTTCTTAGGAAGAAATTCTTCAAAATCATATGTCAGTTTTGGATATTTTTAATATTCCAAACAACCAAAATGAGTTTGAATTACCATACATATACTAGTATTAGATTTCGACACTTCATAAAAATCCCTACATACAAATATATTTAGCTGGTTCCAGTAAATTTTCAACCAAGTCTCTTTCTTTACCCCTCATTCAAATATTAACGGTAATGAAGGAGAAACTTCAAGAGTACTGTGCAACAATATATTCGAAAGGTGGTGTAAATCAGATGTGGATACTTTGAAATACCAAGGGACTTTTGGGCCATCTGAAATCACAAGATTTTACCAAAATTAACAACATAAAACTTACGACTTTTCAACTTTATCCACAACCATGTCCCACGATAAATAAAATCCAGGTTTTTTGATATCGTTGACAGCTACTTTTCAATAAAAATGGAACTAGTAAATTTACCTACCTTGTCATTTGAAAAAATTATTTAGTGAAAAACAGTCTGAATGTACACACAAATACTCTGAACTTGAGATAGAAAAAGATGCTTCAGCTTCTGATTAACAATATCTATCTGGTTTTCGGAGACCAAGGCTTCCAACAATCCATTAGAATTCTCATGGGTACCGATTGCGCCCCGTTATTAGCAAATTTATATAATTATTTTTGTATTCGTATGAAGCAGAATTTGCCGTAAATCTTATAGATGATAAGAAGAAAACTCTTGCTGTGGTTTTCAGCTCGAATTTTGATATATCTACGACGTATTGTCAATTAACAATGGTTATTTCAATCTCATGCCGATACCATATATCCCAGTGAACTTGAGATAAAAGATACCACAGAGTCTGACACATGTGTTTCATGTTTGGATATTTTTATTGAAAAGAAGTAAATAATAATCTAACATTCAAGCTCTATGATAAACGTAATGACTTCAACTTTTCTATCGTCAACTTCCCTTACTTATGCAGCAATATACCTTCATCGCTTGCATACGGAGTTTATATATCTTAATGGATTCGATACGCAAGAGCATGCTCTACGTATGAGCAATTTCTAAAACGAGGTAAACTATTGACAGACAAGTTGATGAAACAAGAATTTTCAGCAGTCTCGTTTTAAGTTATCGTTTCGTTTTGTTGTCGATACAATGACCTTGTCAGCAAATACAATTTTTCATTGAGTCAAATGCTGACTGACTTTTTCACACTAATTGTTTGTCCATTATTTTTATACTGAATTGACGACGGATTTTTCCGTTATTTTTAGGGATGTCAAAATTGTCAATAACTGATATTCGAATATTCGATAGAAGTATTCGAATATATTCGAATATTCGATAAAAAAATACATCTTGCATTATTAAATATATGTATCTTCAGTTTTCTGTCAAGTAGTATAGGTTTTATGGCATTATTTTGGAATAAAAACACTCATGTAGAGTTCGGTAAATGCACTGCAATTATACTTTTTTTTTAAATTATTGAATAGTATATATCCAAAATGTAATGATTGTTTTTTGAAAATTCAAAGGATTCTTTAGGATGTCTTACTAAAGTCTACATCGATAACTCCTACAAACTTATATCTAGCAGAACAACTACCTAACGGTGAAATATTTAAAACAATTACTTTTTGCTAATTTTAATTTCCTGATAATGATTTTAATGATATTTACATAAACAAAGGGTCCGTGTGTATACTGTAAAATTGTGTCCTTACAACAATACAAGCTGATTATAAGTACTGGACACTATTATACCACTAATTAAGTGAACAAATAAATCAATTACTTTAATAGATACACTTTTCACACCTTTTAGGTAATCCAAGAGGAGTGTTTTTTTTTTTTAAATTTTGTACAAACTTGATTCAATTTCTAATAAAATTGCCAGGTTTTTTTTTCTCTTTTTAATGCTTGTATACTTAAAAAAGAATATTCGAATCATGAATTAATATTCGAATATCAACTCATCGAATGAATATTCGATTATTCGAATATTCGTTGACATCCCTAGTTATTTTCCGATCATGAAAAGAAACACACGACGGGTGTGACCGGTCAGCAGGGGATGCTCACTCCTCCATGGCACCTGATCCCACCTCTGATGTTTTGGAGGTCCGTGGTTGCTCTACTCCTGTTTTGTGTTGTTTTATGAACTTTTGATTTTGAATACTGTTCGTTATCTCCATATTTCGTGTACACAAATATGATTAATATTAAATAAGTGTGAATTGTTCATAGGATATTTAGATTATTAATAATGTTTCAAATGATGCAATTTTCTTTTCGTTCTTTATGCATTTATTTATGTTGTAAAGTATTTTAATTCATACTGCAAAGTTCAATAATACTTGATACCTGTATAAGACAGCGTGTCTCGTTCACTGTTAATATCTTAAATCATTTTCATTACATATTTTTAAGTGTAAAAATGAAGACACTTACCTGAATTCTCGAAAACATCCTGTATCTGTGAAGGAAAAAATATAATAAAATACTTGGATAATTAAGAAAAGCCCTATTTAAACAAGATAAAAATACTGGAACTCGGTGAAGAGACTTTTTCTATATAAACTCTTCATCCATATCATTTGTTTTTCCATATTATTAATATAGAAAGTATATTAATAATAAAAAGTAAATTAAAGATGATGCACTGTTGCAACCACTAATGAAAAACGCTAAGTGTTGAAATAATTATTTCAATAGTGGTTTAGAGTGCATTTCAAAACCAAACACAGGTTGCAACCACTATTGAAATAACATTCACCATTGATACAATAATTTCAATAGACGTTTTGAATTCATTTCGAAACCCAAACCAGGTTGCAACCGCTATTGAAATAAAGATTTCAATAGTGAGCGAAATACATGTAATGATTTCAATAGTCGCTGACACGTATTTGAATTCCAAAACCACATTGCAAGCCTTATTAAAAAGAACCCATTATTGAAAAAAATATAAAGACGACCTGTTCATTACGTTTTCTTACGTAATAATAAATCTGACATATATTTTGGATTTTCCAGAGCAAAACATGGACACTGCCATTATATTCATATGGGAGGCGGGGGGTATCATTTAGTGAGCTCATTGCTCACAGTACCTCTAGTTCTTTCTAAAATACTTTCTTTTCAATAAGGCTTACTATGTGGTTTTGGTATTGAAATAATTGCCAGCAACTATTGAAATCATTATTTCACTCACTATTGAAATCTTTATTTCAATATTAAACATTATTTCAATAGTGTTTGCAACCTGCTTTAGGTTTTGAAATGCATTCAAAATGTCTATTGAAATTATTCTTTCAAAAGTGAACGTTATTTCACTAGGGTATGCAGTGTTTCATCATTCAATCAATGTGCAAGTATATCAAATCTGTTTTGTTAATTTAAATACTTTTATTTTTAAATTTACATTTAATGTTTTATTTCTCATAGGCATTTTTAGAAAATTAGGCATCTACCTGGTAAGAATATTATCATATTATTTTTCCTTAGTCAGGTTTCTGCAAAATGTCGAGAAAAGGAATAGTTTAGTGTCTTAACAATGTTATTCAGTGTAAATCTGGTTCTTCAGATATGTTGCACACAACATCGATGTGTTTTGGTGTCCTTACAGATTTATTTAAACTCGCCCCTTTTCCATATCTGTATCTATCTGAAAACTATACAGCGTGAAAAATTCTTCTTTATACTTAAAGACATATACTAGTATAAAAATTATATCTTAAATATAAGTTTTCACATACGCTTTCGTTTTCTTGGTAGAACTATTTTCTTATCAGCATCCAATATTATTTCAAAGAAAAAATATTGGAGGGGTCATTAATTTAAAAACGAGTTCTCAAATACCTTAAATTGGTGTCCATACCAAATTCAACTTACAGTTATCATTATTTTGTGGAACAGTCTTGAAATTATCGAAGAGTGCTTACATAATGCAGTGGCTATCTTTATAAAAAAAAAACGGTTAAACATTTTTATGTTTGTTAATCTACATGTATTTACAAAATTTGTATATTTGAGGAATG